GGTTTTTTATTTTTATCCCAGGACACAATAACCTTGGACATTCCAAGAGAAAGGCTAGTTTCCCCAACCCCCATGTTAATACAAACTTCAAACAAAAGTTATATTTTCTTATATTTTTCATTTTCTTGTATTAGTTGTGAATAATTTAATTTCAGACTTCTTTCATACACAGGACCTGGGAGGCCCTTCCTAGACATCTAGTATTAATTATAGGACATATGTCCATTGTATATCAATGTTCAACACATATGGTCCTTGTTCAGATAGATTGATGAAGGCCCAGTTATTATCACCTTTGACCCGCCATTGCAAGCCAGACTCCCATATGTATTAAGAATGTATTCATTTAAACATATATAGTAAAATCATTTGTGTAAATTATATTTTACCTCCCAAGTATTACCATTTTTATAAATACACAAAAACAAGTCTTGCGCTCAAACTCCCACTACTCTTGGGTGGCAGCAACGACCATAGCAGACATAGCAGCCCCAATACATAAAGTAAAAACCAAAGGGAAAAAAGTTAACCATTTTTATAATGCATGGCTTTAATCATAGATTGGACAGAATGGTTATTAAGCCACAAGCTTTTTTACACATTTTAAAGGTTTAAATAACCTTATCTTTATGTGTACGCCTCCTAATTTCATACTTAGACAAATTTTTACATCAAGCCTGTGTTGCCACAACAGCAGTCACACGCATAATATCATTGTACATTTCCTAACATGGCAAGTAGAGGGTCTGCACAATTTTATAATATGGAGCAGAAATGATAGTCATGGTATATTTTTTAAAGTATATGACATAGGCACCTGCTTGGTCTATATATGCTTACAGTTCTGGCATGGTAACAATAGAAAGAAAAAGTGATGGTCGCTTAACAGAACTAAAACATTGCAAAATATAAGAGATGAAAGTGTTAAGATTATTGTTTACCTGCTAACCAGTGAAAAAAAATACAATGCACAATTTTACAATAGTATGACGAATGGTTTTATTAAATCGTTTTCCTGGCACTGCAGGTCCCCTCCCAACCCCCCATCTCATGTTGCTGAAGGGGTGAAAACCCCTTCAGTGACTTACCTGAGACACCACCGATGTCCCTCGGTGGTTTAGGGTCTGCCGACGCTCCTCCCCTGCCGACGTCATCCTGCGGGGGAGACAGATTGTGCATGCGCGGCCGCCTGCGGGATGAGACCTAATGCGCATGTGCAGCAATGCCTTGCACCCGCATTAGACATCCTCATAGGAAAGCATTGAAAATTCTTTCAATGCTTTCCTATGGGGATTTTAGCAATGCTGGAGGTCCTCACATAGCTGTGCTATAAACCAGGAAATGCCCTCTAGTGGCTGTCTAGTAGACAGCCACTAGAGGAGCAATTAACCCTGCAATGTAAATATTGCAGTTTATGAAAACTGCAATATTTACAGTTGCAGGGTTAAGGGTAGTGGGGGTTGGCATCCAGACCACTCCAATGGGCAGAATTGGTCTGGGTGCCTGGAGTGTCCCTTTAAGCTAGATAACTGAAGAAGCTGGCATGAGGTCCCCGTCTACTAAGTGAAAAGTGATTTACCAATTATCAACAAAACAGTTGAGGAGATTGACTTTGCAGATTTCAACAATATTGCATCCAGTCGCCTCGTTATCTCTAGCGGGCTTTGAGTGGTGGGTGTCTGCATTGTGTCTGCTATCTTAATTAGGCAACGTGGCAGGCCTCTTTCCTTGGTATGGCTGCCGAGTTGCAATTCCACCAACGGCTCAAGACTACAGCCGTGAACTGGGTGCCGGGATATCCCGCCACCACTGGTTCCTGGAGAGATGCCAGCCGCCCCTCCTGCGCTCGCTCTTTCTGGTAGGCTGCAAGAATCCTGTCGAGCTCAGGCTAGAGTTCTTGCCTCCGGCTGCTTCTAAAAGTAGCTTAGCAAGATGTCGTCGTCATTAGTGTAAGCAATGCCGTTTACTAGAGTTGGTAGAATAGGACAATTCTGAGTTCTCTCACGGAGCTCGTCTGAACTGCGACCTATCAGTATGGCGGTCAGGCCCCCCCTCCCCCCCTGCAGGTAGATATTCACCACCAATACTTAACATTAAAAATGGTTATTAACTTGAAGTGCATACATATTGCTGTATTGGTCCTGATGTGTGCAAAAACTTTGTAATTTTTGGATTTCCTCTATGTTTGAATAAATATAAATTTTAAGGCTGCAAGACAGTCTGTTTCAATTATTGTAGCTCTTATGTGACAAACCAACATCTCAGGATCAGCTAATTTCCTACATTTAATGGGGGAGAAAGCATGGGAAGGTTTAAAGGACCACTCTAGGCACCCAGACCACTTCAGCTTAATGAAGTGGTCTGGGTGCCAGGTCCAGCTAGGGTTAACCCATTTTTTCATAAACATAGCAGTTTCAGAGAAACTGCTATGTTTATGAATGGGTTAAGCCTTTCCCTATTTCCTCTAGGGGTTGTCTCACTGACAGCCACTAGAGGCGCTTGTGTGCTTCTCACTGTGATTTTCATAGTGAGAGCACGCCAGCGTCCATAGGAAAGCATTATGAATGCTTTCCTATGTGACCGGCTGAATGCGTGCGCAGCCAGCCGACGGGGAGGAGAAGAGGAGGATCGGAGGAGGAGAGCTCCCCGCCCAGCGCTGGAAAAAGGTAAGTTTTAACCCCTTTCCCCCTTCCAGAACCGGGCGGGAGGAGGACCCTGAGGGTGGGGGCACCCTCAGGGCACTATAGTGCCAGGAAAACGAGTATGTTTTTCTGGCACTATAGTGGTCCTTTAAGTCTGAATTAGTACTGGCTGAATATCTAAAAAGATTTTGCTGCAAGAAGATTACAAGAAAATAACTTGAAAATGTTGAACTGTTCCCTGCAACGAGTGGTAGTACCCTGCTTGATGCAGGAGGAACATATGTTGACTGAAGCCATGGAAGTAAGCAGGGGAGGCACTTGCCTCCCTCTGGATTTTTCAAATTCCCCCCTCCCCACAAGTAATTTTCCCTCGTACTGTGACAGCTCAGGGAAAGAAGAGGGGAGGTGCTCGGGCTTGTCTGTAGTGATCATGTGTGTGTTAGAGAGTTTGTAGTGAGCATGTATTGTTAAAAGGTCTAGTAATTTCTCTAGCCCCCCCCCCCCCCCCAGCAAAACGCCTCAAAAACTGTTATTAGCTGAAATAAAAACCTCAGTAAACGCGGCGGTTGTTGAAAAGATTTAGTGATGATGAAGAAATTAAGAATAAAATAATGAAAGAAATGCTTAAGAATACAATGGAGCATGTGTATATGTGTGAGTGATCTTATATGTAAGCAAGCTTGTGTGTCTCAGCTAGCTTTTCTGTAGTGAGTTTGTGTGTCGGTGAGCTTTTCTGTAGCGAGCATGTGTTTGTGTGTCGTGAGCTTTTCTGTAGGGAGCATTTGTTTGTGTGTCGGTGAGCTTTTCTGTAGTGAGCATGTGTTTGTGTGTCGGTGAGCTTGTCTGTGGGAGCATATGTGTGTTTGTCAGTGAACTTTGTCTGTAGTAAGCGTGTGTGTGTGTGTGACAGTAACTTATCTGTATTAACCTTGTGTGAGTGTCAGTTTGTACTATGTTTGTGTGTGTCAGTGGGCTTGTCTGTAGTGAACTTGTGTGTGTATCTGTGATCTTTTCTGTAGTGTGCTTGTGTGTGTCAGTGAGATTGTCTGTCAGTAAGCCAATGTGTGTGTATCAGTGAGCTTGTGTTTTTATATCAATGAGCTTATGTGTATCAATGAGATTGTGTGCTTGTGTCAATGAGTTTGTCTGTGTCTGCATGTGCGTACGCTTATTGTCATTACAATTATGCCTCCCCCTGGAAAAATTCCCCAGGTTGCCCATGACTGAAGCTGCATGGTATTCCAAGGATCCTTTGTTTAAACGTCCCAGAGTTACTATGTGAAGTCAGAGGTGAGCAGGAGGCAAAAACAAATCTGTAGAAAGTTGCTGTAACGGAACACCCTGTACTCCGACCCAGTCCCTTCCGTTGATGGACGCTTCCTAGCCTGCGCTTCCTAGCCTCCACAACTGCCGTAGCTTAACTGGAGTCTCGCCATCTTCTGTCCACCCTGGATCAGCTTCTGTTCTACTGGACCGTGTGGGGAGGACCTCTCCTACAGGAGAGCGTATGAGGAACAAGCTCTTAAAAGAGCTAAGTGATTAAAGCTCAGGGGAGTATGCAGAGCATAGCAATCCCCAATGTGAGTATAGCTGTCCCCTCCAATCATGAGACAAGACTACGTGTTGAGGGTCAAGAAGAACTGTTTTAATTAGCACCAAAGGGCTTTCTTTTATGCAGGTTTTCCCTACATAGGACCACCCACAGGGTTTTTCAGAACATCCAATAAAAACATTGTTACGATTGCCCCCAGTCTAGCAGGAGGGTTGATCGCTTGGATGTCCTGGTTCCCGCTGTAGAGAGTCGAACGGAGGTCTTTCGTAGTAAGCTGCAAGTGTAGAATATCCCCAAGCACGATATAAGCATCAATATCCCGGATCCCTACAACATGGGTCGAGGCTGAGGGTCAAAGCGAACTGGCTTTACTGGCACATAGCATGGCAATTTATGTGATTCCTCAGGTACAAGGACAGCCCCCTGTGGACCTGATGGAATACAGGTACAGTACAGACCAATATCCAATCACAATGCAGTGTATTATTTGAATTAGTACCCGCCCAGCTTGGAGATAATGAGGCCAACGGTTATACAATCTAATTATCTCCAAGCGCACAAAAGGCCACGTTTTATTATGTCCCAGAAAACTGCATAAAAATCCATAACTTTTACATTAATAAAGGGAAACAACTCATTCTACCATTCATCTAATGGCTCGCGTTCGTATATATTAAACATGCGAATGGCGCTCCAATCCCACTAACAGAATGGACTGTTTCTGCCGTATAAAGTCCATTCGGCATTTTGGATTGTGAGTATCTGTTGGCGGCCATGTTTTCTGACGGTTTAGCGGGCAGCGGGACCTCGCTTCTAACTCGTGGAACTAAACTCGGGTACCAGTTCATGCGAAGCCCCGCTGTCTGTCTGGTAGTGTAACTCGTTCGGTACATAAACGAGGACCACCTGGTAGAAGGGTACTTGACCTGCGGTTAACTGCAGAAACCACAGCTTAATGATCGCCACGCGACCCGCTGTAGGGGGTCGCCGTTCGGTTGATGGTTCGGTAGATTCCCTTCGGTACTTTGGGTGCGAACGTCGATTCCCCCAGGCCTATCAATTAAGTTGTGGTTAACCGCAAACCGCAGCCGCCTGGGTGGTTAATGGCTGCCACACGCCGCTGGCCGGGTGGTCGACCATTCGGTAGTTTGTGGGGTGACGAGGTTAAGTGGCGGCACACGCCAGCCTCTGGGGGGTCCCTCGTTCGTACCACGAATGGAGTCTTTATACATTCGTGTAATCCATTCGTGTTTCCTTCGGCTTAAACATATACAGTGGCAAACAGTATCAATCGGTTATTAAACAGTAACATAGTTATTTCCAGTCTTTTGTAACAAACATTACAACACATACAATAAAGTAAACCACCCCATTCATCCCAGCAGAAATACTCCCCTCTGCCTGTGATACAATGATTTCAACACAATAGACTAACTTAATTATTGTTAAGACACCTCCAGTGTCTTTAGGCAAAACCGCCATTTAGTAGACCTTCCCCGGCTGCAATATCAGTAACTCCGTTCGCCTAACCTGTAGTGCACGAACCAAATGCAGGGGAAGCAGCAATTTCCCGACCGAGATCCGTGAACGGCTCCAAACTCCCGAACGGCAATACACGAACTGCTGCCAGCCGCCGAACAACAATATTCACCAAGCGGCTTTCGTTCCATCCAGCAGTCTCTAAACGTGAAGAAGAAATCCCCCCAATAACGAGACAGAAGCTCCGCATTGAGGGTCAAACAGGATCTGGCTTTACTGTGGGCTACCTGCCCGTATTTATGCAGGTCTCCCACTTGGTGGACACTCCCCTAGGGGACCAAATGGGAGACTTAAATGACAGACAGATATGGGGACATTCCAGACACACAGTCACAGATTTTACCCACAGTGCATTATGATTCCCTCCCCTCTTCCCTGGAGATAATTACCAAGTAACTCAATTATCTCCAGGACAAAGCCAGTCGCCATTTTAAATATAAAATCATAAAAGACATAAAAATGCATAACTTTAAAATAACCGAACATTTCCCATTCGTATCACATATCCCCAGATAGCCTGGATCTGAGTGCATATTATTAGCGAATAGCGCTCAGATCCCACACACATAGTTCAATCGCCATGGAGTCAAAGTTCTTACAGTCTTTCGGTATACGAATGACTCCATGGGAAGGCTATATGGGTTAAGTCTTTTCGTATGCTCCAAACCTCCCGAACGGCCGGTATTCGTATGCTTTCGTGGAGACAGCCAGGCATTCCGTTGTTTCAGCGGTGTTCGGCAGAAAAAGTGTCCGCTTTTAGTTCCATAGAAATAGAGCCAAACACCGCTGGGCTTTCGCGTAGTTTAAAATGGCCGATGCCTCGTGGTCGACATACGAACGACGACCACCCTGAATTCGGTTTAATTGAGAAGTGTCTGCGGTTAACCACAACGTTCTAATTGGGATCACTAGGTTAACCAGCAGCACACTTCTCTCCTGGGTGGCCGTCCGTTCGGCAGGTTTGTTCGGGAAAAAGAGTAATTCGAATGGCTGGGCTATAGAAAACAGCCATTCATACGAATGGGATACAAACAGACGAATACACCTAAAATAAGCAGACAGAGGGTGTGACGAGACCAATCTCGCCACATTGCATTGGAGAAGCCTGGTTACTCGCCTGCTGCCTTTGGACTATGGCCCCCTGTTAAAAGACATCTTTTTTACCTGCAGAAAAGTTTAATTCGTGCTTTTCTGCCTGGGGTTCAGTAGATTTGTTTGAATGTGTTATACCCCAGATAGGAATCCCATGGAGCCCATTTGTATGAAACTGACTGTAAAGACTTTGGCTCCATGGCGATTAAACTGTATTCGTGTGGTCTGAGCGCCATTCACTTAATAATGTGCGCTCAGACCTGAGCTATCTGGGGATATGTGAAATGTCTGTGTTTTATGTATAAAAGGTGACTTTATGTATTTTAAAGTGTTTTGTGTCTTTTTGCAACCATGTGCTTAATGGAGTCTTGTGTCTGTCCTGGGAGATAATTGAATTACTTATCTCCAGGATAGAAGACTCTGAAACTGGTTTGGGCCAGAAAGCCATGCTTCATTTAGTCACAAAGGACTTTTTACTAACTTTTGAACCCCTTGTCTGATTTGTGCCATTTTTTAATATGTTGCTCCCCTGAATGGATTGATTCCAAATATGTAATTTTATGTGAATGTGATGTATGGTTTTAGAGTTATGAAAGTTGGGTAGAAAGTATGTTTTAACTGTATGTGTAATTGAGTTTCCTCTCAGGATAAGGGGAGGGAATATGTGGGATGTAACTGTGATGTGATTGGTTGTTTTATACCTCCCTGTGGGCGGTCCTGTATTTGCAAGACTGTAATAAAAACCAGGCTGGGTGTGCCAGCACCTCAGACCACTGCTTGACCCTCAACACGGAGCCTTGTCTCGTTCTTGGGGGGATTCACTGTATGCTGTTAGAGACTGATTGCCAGGAGTGTAAGCTGTTAGTCTGCTTTTCCTGTTCGTCTGCTAGCAGCTATTTGGGAGGTTCCAGTTCGGGAGTTGGAGTGCTATTTTGTATCCAGTTCGTGAGTTTGGTGTTCTGCAGTAGCTGTACCTGTATCTCTGGAAAGGGGGCCGATCGCCTAAACGGTTTTTACCCCTAGTGTGCAAAACGGTCCGTTACAATTGGTGGCAAGCGGCGGGATCGTTCCTACAGCCAGAAGGACAGCTACAGGAGACACCATTTCTTTGGATTTACAAATGGGGGCAACGCATGTCCCAGTACAGCGACCCTAAAAGCAACAGAATGGAACCAGCAGTGTTATACAAGGAGGAGGACCTGGATGGCCGGGATGCATTAAGGAAAGGCATCTGGTACCAGGCCCTGGATAATGTACAATACCAGTGGGGTGAGAGTCTCCCCAGTGAAGAGCAGCGGTTGCAGAAGCAAGTGGCCCTGCGGATGCCCTTCCTGGGAGAGCAGCCCCTGGAGGAATGGGTGAAGGAACTAGAGCATTGGGTATGGCAGGAGCTATGGCTGGAGGATGCCTACCAGGCGCTCTGGTGGTATATGGCACAGTATATACCCTGGACAGCTGAGCATGACAAGCCAGAGGGAGAGGAGTTTGATGGTCCTGGCTTGTTATGGGAGTCCTTTGCAGAGCCTAACTTCGGGAGCCCTGCACAGAACAGACTTCAGGAAATTTTCTACGAGAGGGAGGCTAGGCATGACTGGGATGACCCCCATGAGGTAGAGCAAGACCTGGCTCACCTAGCAACCCTGGAGTGGGAACTGGAGCAGGACTACCGAGATCTCTTCCACTCCATTGGGAAGGCTCCGCAGGACAGCAGAGTGACAGATCCAGTCTCAGACCCATTCAGCTGGGGAGATATTGTTGAAATTTACTGGGAGGAACCCCAGGCGGCAGGTGGAGAGGGGACCGAGGTCTCTCCACCGGTATTGCAGGGAATTGGGAGCCCGAGCTCCATTCCCCAACGGGAGATATTGCAGGGAATTGGGAGCCCAAGCTCCATTCCCCAGCGGCAGGCTGAGTTACAGGGGGCAGAGGTAGTTGTTCCTGCCCCCCAGCAGCAGAGTGATATGCCAGGAAGGCAGTGTAAAGTGCAGGGAGAGGAGAGCAGCGTCCTCCCTCCCCAGCGGCAGGCTGGGCTACAGGGGCAGAGGTAGTTGTTCCTGCCCCCCAGCAGCAGCATGATTTTTTGGGAATTGGGGGCCCAGTCTCCATTCCCCAGCGGCCGAGTGATGTGCCGGGAATTGGGAGCCCAGTCTCCATTCCCCAGCGGGAGATACAGCAGGGAATTGGGAGCCCAGTCTCCATTCCCCAGCGGCAGAGTGTCCTACCAGGAATAGAGAGCCCAGTCTCCTTTCCCAAGCAGCAGGACACTGTATTGGGAGCGGAGACAGTCGGTCTCCCTCCACAGAGGATGAAAGTATGTATGGGAGAGGAGCTTGCTACCACCTCTCCCCAGCGGCGGATCATTAATGGGCAGGGAATAGAGAGCTCAGTCTCCTTTCCCCAGCGGCAGAGTGTTATATCGGGAGAGGAGCCTGTTACCCCCTCTCCCCAGCAACATCTTAGAGTATCCAAAGGGGAGACAGTCGGTCTCCCCCTCCGGCAGCAGAGCTGTGCAACAAAAGGGGAGACAGTCGGTCTCCAGCAGCAGAGCGGTGTATCTAAAGGGGAGACAGTCGGTCTCCAGCAGCAGAGCTGTGTGTCTAAAGGGGAGACAGTCGGTCTCCAGCAGCAGAGCGGTGTAGTTAAAGGGGAGACAGTCGGTCTCCCCCTCCAACAACCAGGCTTCAACCAGGCTACCCTCCCAGTAGCGCTGGCAACAGGGCAGAGTGCCGCTGGTCTCTGCCCACGCAGCAACCCACCGAGTCAGCGTACCCGTACCCAGCACAGCCGTGGTGAGGCACCTGGACATGGACAAGCTTCTCCTTTACCCAGGTTTAGTAACCATTTATTGTGGGTGGGCTGTGATGTTGATTATGTTTTGTGGGTGGGCTGCTGGACTAACAAGGGCACTGACCGGCAGGAGGTCAGATACCCTGTTAGTCTGTTTGGAAAAGGGGAGAGATGTGGCGAGACCAATCTCGCCACATTGCATTGGAGAAGCCTGGTTGCTCGCCTGCTGCCTTTGGACTATGGCCCCCTTTTAAAAGACTTTATTTTTGCCTGCAGAAAAGCTTATTCGTGCTTTTCTGCCTGGAGTTCGGTAGATTTGTTTGAATGTGTTATACCCCAGATAGGAATCCCATGGAGCCCATTTGTATGAAACTGACTGTAAAGACTTTGGCTCCATGGCGATTAAACTGTATTGTGTGGTCTGAGCGCCATTCACTTAATAATGTGCGCTCAGACCTGAGCTATCTGGGGATATGTGAAATGTCTGTGTTTTATGTATAAAAGGTGACTTTATGTATTTTAAAGTGTTTTGTGTCTTTTGCAACCATGTGCTTAATGGAGTCTTGTGTCTGTCCTGGGAGATAATTGAATTACTTATCTCCAGGATAGAAGACTCTGAAACTGGTTTGGGCCAGAAAGCCATGCTTCATTTAGTCACAAAGGACTTTTTACTAACTTTTGAACCCCTTGTCTGATTTGTGCCATTTTTTAATATGTTGCTCCCCTGAATGGATTGATTCCAAATATGTAATTTTATGTGAATGTGATGTATGGTTTTAGAGTTATGATAGTTGGGTAGAAAGTATGTTTTAACTGTATGTGTAATTGAGTTTCCTCTCAGGATAAGGGAGGGAATATGTGGGATGTAACTGTGATGTGATTGGTTGTTTTATACCTCCCTAAAGGTCCTGTATTTGCAAGACTGTAATAAAACCAGGCTGGGTGTGCCAAGCACCTCAGACCACTGCTTGACCCTCAACACGGAGCCTTGTCTCGCTCTTGGGGATTCACTGTGGCGCTGTTAGAGACTGATTGCCAGGAGTGTGTTGCCCGTCTGTTTTCCTGTTCGTCTGCTAGCAGCTACTGGAGGTTCCAGTTCGGGAGTTGAGTGCTATTTGTAATCCAGTTCGTGAGTTTTGGTGTTCTGCAGTAGCTGTGCCTGGATCTCTGGAAAGGGGGCCGATCGCCTAAACGGTTTTTACCCCTTGTGTGCAAAACGGTCCGTTACAGATGGTTCTGTCACACGGCTCCCTCCTTGTGGGACACTCCGGCAGACCCGGCTTGACCCTGTGGCGGGTCAATTTGGGGATGCCCGGACTAAGCGGTGGTGGAGACGTCTGTTTGTCGTGATAACCCATCTGCATTCCGGTTCAGCTTACCGGGTCTGTAGCTAATGGTAAAATTGTAGGGCTGTAATGCCAAGCTCCATCTCAGTAGTCTCCCATTGTCTCCTGAGACCCGGTTAAACCAAACGAGTGGGTTGTGATCAGTCACAAGGGAAAACTCTTGCCCATACAAATAGGGACTTAACTTTTGCCCAGACCAAGGCCAAGCACTCCTTTTCCACTGCCGCATAACTCACTTCCCTGGGTAACAACTTTCTGCTGAGATATGCAACAGGGTGCTCTCCTCCATCTTCCCCGACTTGGCTCAGCACAGCCCCCAGTCCATACATGGAAGCATCTGTATGGGCGAGAAAACGTTTGTTAGGGACTGGAGCAGCCAAGGGACAAAACGTCTGTAGTACCCTGCCGTCCCCAAGAAGGCCAATACCTGGGTCTTAGTGGTAGGTGTGGGCCAGTTAGCCACTGCCTCTACCTTGGCTGGCTCTGGTCTCTGGCTCCCACACCCCACTCTGTGACCCAGATATTGTACTTCAGCCATACCTAGATGGCACTTTATCCAGCACTACCCCTACATGTACCAGGTGTTCCTCCCAGGACCCACTGTAAATCGCAATGTCGTCCAAGTATGCACAGGCAAATTCTTGGAAGCCATCCAGGACCCTATCCACCATCCGTTGGAAGGTAGCCGATGCATTTTTCATCCCAAAAGGCATGACCTTAAATTGGTACAGGCCAAATGGGGTGACAAATGCCGACTTGGGGATAGCATCCTCGGCCAGGGGGATCTGCCAGT